TCCTGTGGGTCGAGTACGCCCACAACACCCTGACCAGTTCTGCCATGGGACTCTCCCCCTTCCAGTGTCCCTATGGGTTCAAGCCGCCTCTGTTTCCCGCCCTTGAAAAGAAGGTTTTCTGCCAGTCGAGACCTTCATCCGCCGCTGTTGCAGGAACTGGATGCAAGCCTGAACCTCACTCCTACGCTCCGCTGACCGTTACTCTGCCACTGCCAACCGCCGCCACTCCAAGGCACCCACCTACCAGGTGGGCCAGAAAGTATGGCTGTCCACCCGGGACCTCCCACTACGGGTGGAATCCAAGAAACTGGCACGCAGGTTCATCGGCCCTTCGAAGTGGAGAGGGTTATCAACCCTGCAACAGTGAGGCTAAAGTTGCCCTGGTTGCGGGTCCACTCCACGTTCCACGTTTCCAGGGTCAAACCTGCCCTTGAGAGTCGGCTGGTCCCCCCTGCTCCGCCTTCTCCCTCCACCCACGCTGGTTGATGGGGGTCTGTCTACTCCGTCCACCGTCTCATCCAGTCCCGTCATCGAGGGAGGGGTTTCTAGTACCAGGTTGACTGGGAGGGATACAGTCCTGAAAGAGGTCCTGGGTTAGAACAGCCTTACAGGACAGTCAACGATGACCGACTCCACGACTCAGGGGCGCCGTATAGGGGGAAAGACAATTCCAAGGACTGACAGGGGCCCCAAAAAATTGGTAAAAACTAATATAAAATTATTAAACCATCATCATTCAGTATATATATTTCAAATATAATAATAAAATTAATGATCTCTTTGTTTTTACTTGTTTTTGGGAGTAAAAGAATCCCCATTGACCAAAAAACTTTTAGCAGACTTAAAAACAGATGAGTCAACAGCACCCCAGTCTCCCCATAACTGTACCCCTCCCTGTCCCAGTGAAAAAGGTGAGCAACATTGTGTTCAATGACAGGCCAGTTAGCATCATTGCAGGGAGTCTGTTGGGATTTCTGTCTCTCTTGCTCTTTTTACCATTACAAAAAGAAAATGAAATATTTATTAATGACAGAAATTCAAACACATTAATAACAATTATTTTCTCACATAATGATCATTACATCATTATGGTTGCTTTTAATCTTGCATCAAATAGGGAACTGCATACTGTATGCAGACTAGCATGCATGTACAAATCAAGAGTAGTAAATATTATGCTAGTACTTGTATTATACTACAAGAAGCAAAACAGTTGCAAGCCTTTAATAAGAGTTATGTAAAGCTTTTGATGGGACAGTTAGGTCCTAGAGATGTTGTGACAACAGCTGCACAGAGGGGGCCCAATTAGATTTTTTTGTCATGGGGCCCAAAATTCCTGGCGGCGCCCCTACCTTGACTTCATCACTGCCCAGTACACCACACACACCTGAGAGCAGAAACACACTCATCCATTCCCCCTCCGGTCCAAAGGAGGCCTCCCCTACCTGGACCAGGTGTGTAAAAAGGTGAAGATAGACTTCGGGTACTGCATTACCTGTCCCTCTTCCAGTGACTCGGGCTTCAGCTTGCGTAGGTCCTGAGTGGCGTCGTGGTAGAAGAGGTTCATCTGAGCCAGCAGACTGTCGTACTGTTCTGCCGTCACCGCGTCGCCACCGAGACCCCGGACGACCCGACCCCAGAGGCAGGACGGGTTCTCAATCTGCAGAGAGAGAGCAGCGGGTCACAACCTTTCTCTACCAGTGAACTGACGACCCGACCAAGTGACATATTTTATGGCTCGTTAATATTTATTATCATATTATATATTTCACATTATTATATTATTCAATGAATAAACTGCACAGTGAACACAATAACAGCAGAAAGTTTGGGTAAAAGCAGAGATTTGGATGAACTTGGAGCAGATTATTTCCTGTGACATTTCATTGATATTGTTGGTAACCTTTTATACAATTCTCTGTCTGTATTATGTATTTTTTATCAATCATACTCTCTAAACCATCTAACCTTAAAGAAACAAACTATTTAATTTAGTTTTCTTCATAGAAATGAGATATAGGCCTACTGTGTATAGTTTATGGTTTTCTTACACCCTCCCCCCTCTTTTGATTGTTGTAAAGAGATTCTGCTCATGTGTTTTAGGGCTGCACGATATAGTAAAAACTTTGTATTGTGATTATTTTGACAGATACATCGTGTCTTATTTAAAACCAGTGTTATTACATCCTAATCTAGACAGAACAACCTCCTCTCTTCTTCCTTTAACACTGTGCTTTAACTGCAGATTTTCTTCCTTATTAGTGTTTTAACTAATTATAAAGCTGTTGTGTCAAACATTATACTCTGACTCTTAAACCCACCCTGAATATATGCTACCATTAATGGTTTATATCTTCTTTAATATTATAACACAGTATGTCACACTGCTAAATTGCACATTATATTGTAAATACTGTCTCTCTTTATACCTTTTTCTAGTTTTATCTTCACTTATATTCATTATGTTTACTGCAATGCACCAATTTGCCATATAATCACACTTTAAACTGCTTTTAATGTAAATTCACAAGCTAAACGTTCAGGTTAGTTAATATAAGTATAATTATTAAACACCAAAAACACAAACAACCTCCCAGAACAGCATCATGCATCGATCTTTATCCACAAACAGCTCCTAAAGTCTTTCTGAGTGCAGACTGTCAGCATTAGGTATCAACCGTTAACTGACAGTAATTAATTAATTAATGAAGAAAACCTCACTTACCTTCAAAATGGACATTTTCATCATTGTGCACGGGTCTGTAATCCTCACTGGAGCCTTAATAATAATAATAATAATACATTTTATTTATAAGCGCTTTTCTAAATACTCAAAGACACTTTACATAAAAAAATAAAATAAAAACACTGCAGGGAAATATAACAATATAACTCATTATGCTGTGACTCCAAGCAATCGCTGGAATAAATGAATTAAATATCGATTTAAAGTCGATATTTTTGATTAGCGCCCGTCAGCTAGGTAGCTACCGTTAGCTCACCGGGCGGTACAAGTTCCCGGGATTTAAAAACTACAAATTTACCCAAAACGAAGCGGAATTTCACAGGTTTGTGTCCGTACAATGTTTTTAATGTTATTCCGTTTGGTTTCCGTCTGATTTAATATGAAAACCGTCACGTTTGTTACCTGTTTGAGCTTCTGGACGGAACAACGCGGTGAAACGACGTCAGACAAAATGGAGGCGTCCTTCTGGTTGTGACCGTTAGGGGTTGCTATGGAGACAGCGGTAGGTGAGAGGGCGGTTCCTCCTTCTTCTGCCTTGTAATTGTTATATAACTGACTCAATATGTATGGATGTATTATTTTTAATTATTTAAGATTTAATTAGATGTTTTTTTTAAATGTTTACAGCTGGTTGTGGATTTCAGTCAATGTAAAAACATTATAATGTTTAAGAGGATCTGAACGAGGGCGGCGGGCGATACCAAGTGTGCAGTCGGGAGGGGGGAGTCACATTTATGTTTTCTTTAACAAACGGAAATAAATTGAAAATAAATCGTCAATAATAAGATATAAATCAATTGACAGCACTCACTAAAGGAGGATATATCTAAGATAGTTCAGCTGTATATTGGGGGGGGCCCTAGTGTTTACTAGTATTTGCAAATGTGACTGAAACTTGTCAATAAATGAGTTGAACTCCAGCAGATAAACTTTATTGATCACACATTGGGGAAATTCACTTGTTACAGCAGCTCCAGATAAAAAATAAAGAAATACACATTAAATAACAAAATAAAATATAAAAAATACAAGATTCTAGAAAAATAAATAGAAATGGGATTGTATGTACGAACTATATACAGTATGTTTATATTGATGTGATTTAAAGTTACAATATAATATTGCACAGGAAAAACTGCACACATATATATTATACAGTAATGATTTAACAGGGCTATGAACAGGTCTAAAGACTAAAGTGCATGTAAGAAATTATATATATATGTTTTTTTAAAGTGACTATGGTATTGTTGCTGAGTTCAATCAAATCAACAACATATAATCATATCTCTCTTGTTTAAATAAGGTCTTCCTATTAACTGTAATGGCTCTATTAGGTTAATATGCGCTGTGAAATGATGTGTAAATGTTAAAGTTTCCAATTATACAAGATCTGTTTGGGCAGTTTGTAAATCTCCAAATGACATTTGAGTAAAACTTCCAAGCAGCAGTAAATAGAAGTATTATGAGACAATGTGTTAATGTGAGTGTGTGATTTATGTGTATTCCCTCTCATTTTAGCTAGCGTTTGTGTCATTTTGTTTCCATGGAGACAACTCATTTGTGCCAGAGCCCATTCAAAAAAATAGTGATTTCTAAGTTTGTTTCTCTTCAGAGCGAATAAATAAATGTTGTAGGAATATAAATGTAAACCTTTTCTGTTCAACATGTTCCAGTCTATAATTCGGCATAGTTGTCATTGTGAAATTCTTCTTATTAATTTGAATATAAAGACAAGTTATGAAATGAGTCCACGCTGCTCACCGGGGCTGTCCACAGGGCGTACTCTTTAATAACTGTGGGACATTAGAGATTTTACAGCAGGAAGCGCTGCTCAGTGGATATTATTGGAGCCGATATGAAGGGTGAACACTAAAGAGCCACAATAGTCTTCTGAGTTACAAGTTAACATTTAATATTATTGTCTTATGACCATTGGATTAGTATTTAACAAGATTTCTGAATGGAGTTCTGCGTGATAGACAGCCACCCACCAAAAATGTTTCAATATTTTCTGCTTTTCTTATTCTTCACTGATATCATAGTAAATATGTTTTGTGTTTTGGACTGTGATTTTTAATATGTCAGCATTTGTGACATTTTATGGATAAAATGATTAATGGATAAAGTAATTAGAGAATGAAAATAATAGTTCCACAGCTTTTGTTCCAGGCTTGTCGTTGGTACTGTACTGTACTACTTTATGTGGCCTCCGCTGTGTGATCAGGACTTTTTAAGTCTCCATGTAAAGAAAATGTTGTCACTAACAAGCCCTACTGCTGCCGCAGGTGGAGGCGTGAAGATCCTGTTTGAGAAGGAGCTCGGTGTGGCAGATTTCCACCTGCCCAACAAAAGCTGCATCCTCTACGTGTCTGAGTGCGACATCATTGCAGGGAACAGCTACAAGAGGAAACTGGTTCGCTACAGAAACGTGAGTTTAATGAGACCGCTGACGAAGCAGTTTGGCTGAACGCCTCTGACGTGATCTGTGTCCGTCCTGTTGTACAGAGCAGCAGTAGTTTCCAGGAGCTGGTGCTGGTGGAGAACACCAGACTCAGTGAGCAGTACTTCTCCGCTGTGCAGAAGTTTGTGGTGTTTGACCTCGGCCTGACTCTGCTGCCGGTCAGCGGGCAGACTGAAGCCTCACAGCTCATCACTCAGATTGTAAGTAGTGAAAAACAAGAAAGCTGCACTTCTCTTTTTGTCTTAATATCCTTACTCCACATCACAGAAATGTCCAGTATGTTCTTTTAAATCTATGAGTTGATTAAAGCGTGAGTGGATGGGAAGATCAGTGTTAGATCTTAGTATCAGGGGATTGTTGCAGCACAGACCTTTTCTCTTGTATCACAGGAAGTCACTTACCAGCGCACAAGAGTCAAACACAGACCTTTGGGGTAAACCTGAGCTGTCTTACTGAAACCTCTTGTAGCAGGACACTTTGTTGTCTGGTGCTAGTTCTCCAACCTGCTCTAATTGTCTCCAGGTTCACGGTGGGGGGGGGGCAGGGAGAACCCCTTCAGGAGGAGGACTTCGTCTCAGCTGTTGGACCCGCTGATCCTGGCTCTGGTCCAGCAGGTCCCCGGGGGCCGGCAGGGTCAAAGCTCTGGCCCTGCTGCAGCACTTCTCCAGCATCCAGAAGCTCTGCAACGCCGCCCCGCCCAGCTGGAGCCCATCGTGGGTCACGCTGCAGCTCAACAAATCCACAACTTCTTCCACAAAGCCACTGCTGCTGGAACCTGAAGGTCCGACTCTGGGTCTGCACTCAACCAGGAAAGTTTGGATTGAATCATAATGCAGAAAGATTCAGCTCACATGGACACTAACTCTTTATTTGAAAGACTGCAATGGCAGAAAATCCAACATTGCTGTGTTTAAACTGTAACAAACAATATTTGTTTACTTGTTTGTTCGTCCACAGAGCCCCGCTGGTAACAGGGCTGAAAATACTTGGAAACTGATTTAGGTTTGGTGATTGGGCCGCTGAGTTCTCTGCCCTGTGTGGTTTTCTGTTTGTATTTTAGTTTGCACTTTTGCTTCCACAATAAATAAATATTTGTAGCATCAGTTGTCTCTTTTTAATCACTGTTGATGTTGTTTATGAGTTTGAATCCAAAAGATAAACCTCTCACTGCATTTGAGTTATTTTCCCTCTTGTTTTCTTCTTAGTTTGGGTTCAATTTATTTCAACTTAGATATACATAGAGTTTGTGAATAAAAATGTTGTAAAATTAAACCTACATTTGTCACCACAATGTTGAAGTACAATACTTTTGACTTTGTACCAATCAGACGTAGATCTCATTATTCTGCATTGATGTAATGTGCTTCAGCATCAGACTGTAGTTATTTATTAAGAGCATGTCCTCATGAGGCCACAGGCTGCAGTTTGTTATGAACTCCACTAGAGGGCGTCCTCAGATGTCACTTATTCTCTACAAACTAGTAGCACTGGTTTAGTGTTCATATCAGCTGCTCCAACACAAACCTTCAATAACACTACATTATCTTACACTACCAACTATCTCAGAGGTGATGGGCTATTGGAGCTCATCAGCTGATGCTGTTTTTAATCACATGATTTGGTGCTCATTAGAAACACCATCAGCTGTTTTTCAGCTTTGATATCAATCAAAAACAAAATAAATGAATCAAATACAATCAAAACTTTATTTAGCTTTTGTTCAGTAATTTGTGCCAGTATGCAACAGTTCTTATACATACAAAGATCAGACAATAAAAAGGTTTGAATTTGGCACCCAGACATTTAAAGAACATGAACATGTTTATTTATAAGCACAATGTTTTCTAATGATTTAACAGTCTTGAAGGCAGGTAATGCAGTTATTAGAATGAATTAGACTGCATTAGATAATATCAATCAGTGTGGTCAAACTGGTGTGTTGTAGTAATAAGTAGTAATGTGACACATCCAAGAAAAAAAGTAAAAATAACCCATATTGATCAGAATCTGGAAAATACTCAATCTAAACATTGTACATCACCAATAAATATACATTTATTACATTAAATGATGTGAATCTTTCTGTAGGAAATCAACTGTTTTTTTCTACTCAGTGTGATTGACAGGACAGATGATCAGAGGGGCAGAGTTTTTACTACCATAATTAAGACTAGGACCAAAGAATGGGTAGAGTTTCTCAGTGAAGGAGCAGCCAGTAAAGGAGTAGATAAGAGCTGCAGCATCAACATCATAAAAAGAGACCAGACCCTCCTCATAATCCACAAACACCCCCACCTTCTCAGGCTGAGACTGCAGAGAGAGACAGACTGCAGGGTCAGTAGCAGCTTTGTACTCATTTTCATTCCTTAACAGTATCAACCAGTAACCATCCTGAGGTCTCAGTGTGATTACTCCCTTCCTGTTGATCGACTCTCTGGCCACTCCTAAATCCCACTTAGTCTTCCCTTTAACCTGAACCTCGAAATAAAATCTTCCTGAAGAGAAACTCTGCTTTGCTAAGACACAGGTACAAGTATCAAATCTCTGTGGATTGGCTGGGAGATTCTTCTTTACATCACCATGTTTAACTTGTTTTCCATCATCAGACAGGATGAGCCAGGGCTGTGCTGTATCAGGATCTAGTGTCACATCCACTGCATACTGCTGGACCCTCTTCAGCTCGACCTCAAACAGCTTCTTCATCTGTTTACTGAGCGTCTCCTCCAGCTGATTCACAGCTCTCACCACAGTCCCCTCATATGAAGGTGGACGGGTGCTGATTCTTATCCAGTCTTTGAGGAGGCAGAGACATGGTCTGGGTCTTGTTGAAAACCTCTTGGAGGTCATGGTAACAAGCCAGGACACCCCCCCCCCATTTCTTGAACAGGAGTTTTACAGGTGTTTGGTGCCAGGATGTCTCTACTAAGGGATGAGGCAGCGCACACAGGTGGCTTGGAAGCAAAAACAGACATGGAACAAGTGAAAGCACAGTCATTTCCCCAACTTATAACATTGCCTGTCCATTGCAATATGAGGGTTGTTGTTTAGTGAGCCACAGTAAGCCCAGAATTAATGGATGTTGGAAAGATTTAAAGAGATAAAAACTTAAAAAGACATTTTAGACATTACCGTTTATGACAAGTTGGATGGTTTGGGTGCAATGAGTGAGTCGACCATCGAGGGCATTGGCTTCTAAAATCTTGGGCAGAGGAGTAACCCTTAGGCCCAGTTTTTCTGCTAATTTCAGATGCATGAATCTCTCGTATTGAGCAGGAAGAGCAGGTGCTGCTGCCGAGACAGATGAGGTGAGGTTGAGAGTGTCAAAACGACTCACCAATTATTGGATCTGGTCTTTAAGGTGACCCTGGTCACCAACAGACGCAGAAAGATTCTCTAGGCGGTCTTTGGTTCTTGAACAGAGAGACAGACAGCAAAAAGCTTCCTCTTGGTTAATCTGTGATCCCTGAACACGAATGGCTGCATGCATCTGGTTGGAGTCAGCTGAGTCCATTTTTGGCCAGTTCATACTGGTAGTGTTTGACCAAGACACTGGACTCAAATGCACGACTCAAAACACAAACAGGGTTCAGAGGTAAATTAGTTTATTTTAATTGATGCAAGGTTAGGTACACGGGTAATCCACATAAAAGGCAAACAAAACTATATAGTGAGCAGGTTTAGGGCCTGTCCTCACAAATACGTTTTTATCGAATCCAGATAAATACTTTATCGTATCGGCCTCGCGTCCAGACGGATACGGCGTTTTCGGGGTGTGAAAATGGTATTTTTTAAAAACGGGTCCCAGAGTGGGAAAATCCGAAAACGCCGGATTGGCCGGAGTCGCCTGGACGGCAAAAACGGACTTCTCCGAAACAATGACGTATTGGCCCCGCCTCTCTAGCCTTTAACCTCATAACAACAACAACAATGGCAGACTACTACTACTTGTTTGTAAACAGCGCATGCTCCATGGCTTCTTTTGCGGTTTTAGTGTTTTGGTGTGGCGGCGTCACAGCGCCACATGCAGGCCTGGCATATGTACTACAGCGTTTTGTGTCGTTTCAGTGAATCAGTGGGGATGCAGATATTTCTGGAAACGACGCTGTGTTTATGGAGATTTTTTCTCGAAACGGCATCGTATTGGGTGAGACCGCGTATTCGTGAGGACAGGCCCTTAAGGTAATCAGATGCAGGTGCAGGTGATTGAGGGCGGTGCAAACAATTACCATTAGCAGCAAACACACAAGGAAAGGAAGTGAGAGGATCAGAAACAAGAGGGAAAGGAAGGTACAAAATAAAATAGGAAACACACAGAACTTCAAAATAAGATCCATCACCATCAGTCACATTTTAAGTGATGTACTGTATAATGCTCTGCAGCTCTGGAATTATTATTATTAGTAGTAGTATTACTGTACTAGCATAATCAATCAAGAGTTACATGTTATCATCACAGACAGTTATATTTGTAAAAAAAAAAAAGTATGTATATGTATTCATATTTCTTCATAGGTATTCTGCATGTCCAGGGAATCAATGTCAAGTATATGGTCTCAGACAGGGATCCACAGATTTGTGTATAGCATGCTCTAACATCTAAAAGAAGTCAATCATAGAAAACTTTATCTGTGGAGCAGAGGGTTACAACTCTCTGTTTTTTAGACCTCTATAATCCCAACCTCAAATCAATGTTAAAATGTTTAACCGCACACATCACATGTAACCCAAGGATGGTGACGATATCAATAAAAGACAAAATAAATAAATGAGACAGTAAAAACTTTATTTGGCTCTTATTTCAAATGAAAAAGAAAGAAAATCTAAATCAAAATCTTCAATGAGTTGTGCCAGTATGCAACAGTTCTTGTATATACAAAGATCAGACAATAAAAAGGTTTGAATTTGGCACCCAGACATTTAAAGAACATGAAAATGTTTCTTAATTGTGAACACATTCTTTTCTAATGATTTAACAGTCTTGAAGGCAGGTCAATGTCTCTTTTTTTACCTGTAGAAAATTAAATGGTTGTTTTAATCAGTGTGATTGACAGGAGAGATGATAAGAGGGGCAAAGTTTTTACCACTTTTGTTATTACAGGGATTAAAGAGTGGGTAGAGTTTCTCATTGAAGGAGCAGCCAGTAAAGGAGTAGATAAGAGCTGCAGCATCAACGTCATAAAAGGAGACCAGACCCTCCTCATAATCCACAAACACCCCCACCTTCTCAGGCTGAGACTTCAGAGAGAGAAGGACTGGAGGGCCAGCAAGAGCTTCATACTCATTTTCATTCCTCAACCATATCATCCAGTAACCATCCTGAGGGCTTGTTTGGATCATTCCCTTCCTGTTGATCGACTCTCTGGCCACTCCTAAATCCCAGCCAGTCTTCCCTTTAACCTGAACCTCGTAATAAAATCTTCCTGAAGAGAAACTCTGCTTTGCTAAGATGTAAAGAGAGTAATCAAATCTTTCTGGATTGTCTGGGAGATTGTTCCATACATCATCATGTTTAACTTGTTTTCTATCATAAGACATGATGAGTTTGGGATGTGCGGTATTAAGATCCAGTGTCACATCCACTGCATACTGCTGGACCCTCTTCAGCTCGACCTCAATCACCTTCTTCATCTGTTTACTGAGCGTCTCCTCCATCTCATTCACAGCTCTCCTCACAGTCCCCTCATATGAAGGTGGACGGACGCTGACTCCTGTCCAGTCCTTGGTGGGTGGAGCAGCGTTCACGGACAGGAAGCTTTGGAGGAGGTGGAGGTGGTCTTCAGACTGTGAGAGCTGCTCCACCTCAGAGCTTCTCTTCCTCAGCTCAAAGATTTCCTGTTCCAGCTCTTTGATGAAGTCTTCAGCCTGTTTCTCTGTCTTTCTCTGTTTCTCTTTGATCGTGTAGATGAGCTCGGCCTGGCTTCTCTTAACAGACTTCTTCAGAGCGGTGAAGACCTGAACACCATCTGCTATCTCTCTGTCTGCACCTTTCTTACTGAGCTCCACTGAGCGTTTGATCTCCTGAATCTTCAGTCGTCTCTTCTGGATCAACTGCTGAATTTCAGCCTCTGTCTTCCCCAGCTCAGCCTTCTTTCCTTCATATTCTTCTTTCAGAGGAACAACATCATGTGTCTTGTGGTCGAAAATAGTGCAGAGGCTGCAGACACACATCTGGTCGGTCTTACAGAACAGCTCCAGCAGTTTATCGTGCTTCGTACACATCCTGCCTTCCAGGTTCTCCACAGGGTCGATCAGCTGATGTCTTTTCAGGCCTGACGTTGTCAGATGAGGCTCCAGGTGAGTCTCACAGTAGGAGACCAGACACACCAGGCAGGACTTCAGGGCCTTCAGTTTGGTTCCAGTGCAAACGTCACAGGGAACTTCTCCTGGTTTGGAAACTTGTTGCTCTGAGCTGCTGCTGCTGGCTTTCTGTTGAGCTGACTGTCTGAACTGAGCAGCCATCTCAGATATGAAAGTATTGACCTTCAGCTCAGGTCTTGTGTTGAAAACCTTGTTACAGTTGGGACACTGACACTGGACATTAATATTCCAGTGTTCAGTGATGCAGGTTATACAGAAGTTGTGTCCACATGGTGTGCTGACTGGATCAGTGAACACATCCAGACAGATGGAGCACAGAAACTGATCTTCAGTCAGCAGACAGCTGGCAGCAGACATATCTACACTGTGAGGATAAAAGTGAAACTGTGACAAACTAAAAAGATAACTGCAAAATTCTTGATTAGTCATAAAAATATCAAGTTAGGTTAACTGAAATATCAGGAAGTAATTTTGAAGTATTTTGTTTGTTCGCACTTTGAAAACACAAAATGAAAACAGTGGCAAATCCTGTCTGAGTAAAGCTTAAGTTTTGTGTTAATTTTGTTTCTGAACCAGTAAATATTATCAGCTGTACTCACCAGTGTTTGACAGAGACTGTGCTGTGTTGTTGAGAAGAGAAGCCGGATCAAGTCAACTTGTTCTATTGAGAGAAACCATGAGATTTGTCTTGACTGCAGGTTTGCCTTCACTCACATTAATGTTTCGTTTCATTTGAAGAATGTGGAATTGAAACTGTTGTGATTTTCCACCATGCTCCGCCTCTTTCTGCTCTATAGGTGAGGCTTTGTTGCCTTTCAGGTCTGAACGGATCAGTCACGTACTTTTGGTTTGATGGGAGAAATCAAATGTAAATTTTGTCTGGAGTAAAGCACCAAAGACTTGTCAGGGAACCTTCTGGTTACTGGAGACTTTGACTTAGTTTAATTTTGTTTTTCTCAGATTAAAGTCTATAACGTACGGGAGTGTATTGCATTCTCTTTAAAATTTATTTTTGGTTTGTTTTTCTGGGTAATTATTTTTCTGACTTTAGAGAGCATTTGAAACAATAGATGCGTTCATTCCTTTATAGAGAGCTTGATTTAACAGAAACAAACATAACCGGCTTGTTTAGTTTAATCAAGTTTTTGATCTGGGTTTAAGACATTGGGAGATATATAGAGATAGTCCTGTCTTTAAAGATGATATTATCATTAGTTTGTCGACTCTATGCAGGCACCTGAGGACTTTGTGGTTGTTCAGAAGGACAGCCCATTCAGATCTGCTAGACATAGCAATTTATACATAGCAAAATTTACCCGGTCTGGTAGATAATTGAAGATGGGGCATGTATGTGCGGGCAGGAGTCACCATAGGTCCATGGGAGTCACTTGCAGGTTGGAGGTTCTCGGGGAGTTCAAGTATTTCGATAATTCAGAAAAAAAAGTACCCCGAAAAACAGAAAAAAATTACTCAGAAAAACAGAAAAAAAAAATTCGTCATTATTCAAAAAAACAAAATTACTCGCTTTTTTCAAGTGAATGCAATACGCTTCCGTAATGACATGCTCCAACAGTCATAAAAAAGAGGTCATCCATGGAAGAACTTACTTTATCTGTGGCTCAGAGGGCTACAACACTTTAATGTCTCTCTTCAGGCCCACAATAATCCTAACATCAGTTCATTCATCAATGTTAAACTTTTTAACCTTTTCATATCACATGTAACCCGTGGAATACGTTGCCACAAAGCACACACTTATTTTTGGGGGATTCTTGTAGCTTCAGCGTTTTGGTTGTTGACATAAAAACTAAAACGCATTTCATACTGAAGGCAGAAATGAATAAATCTGTCTTCAGTGCAGCACATTTGCTTTAATGCACATTAGAATTTACAAAACACTGAAAGAGTTTAAAAGACAATTAAATTCAAGAGAAGAATGTAAAACTCAACACAGTGCTGTCTACATTAAAACAGAGTTTAATGATTTAAACACGCTTCTCTGGTATAATGCGCTGTTCTGTCAGTACTAGATATAAATTAATTCAGTTTAAGGCCCTACACAGACTGCATAACTCTTGCATCAGTTTGTCCTCTGTGTGATAGATGTGGTACAGCTTTCACACTCATTCTAGCAATGTAGATCATTTCTGGTGCGAACATATTTAATTGGTTTTTCAAACAATATGAGATCAACATTCAGCCAGACTGTAATTTAACAGTATTTGTTTGCTCTGAGAGGACAAAGGCCCTTCCCTTCTATCAATAGCAGGCTGTCAAAGCAGGCATGGTTGTCGTTAATAGAATATTACTAAACTGGAAGTCTCCATCATCCCCATGTTTTAGGAGGTGGCTCAACAAAATGCTTTCTGCTCCTAAAAGTAGAAGAACCTCGATGAACCTTTTGGGGTTCCTCACCACTGCGGAGGATCCCCAGTCCAAAAAGGATCCCCCTCAGAAGGGTTCTTTTAGGAACCACTTTGTGGGCTGTAGTAGTTATAGTAGTGACATTGCACAAATACTTTCTCATAGACATTTTATTTAACCGGAATATTGAATAATAATACATATGATTGTTGAAACAACTTTAAATTCTATCAATACAATTAACAAGTCACTGAATATATGCAATAACAAAGCAACATTCATAAACAAATGTAATAACATTAGAAGTAGTAGCAGATGTCAGATCTGTACAGGGTACCCCAAACATATATATATAAATATATATATATACTTCTTATGAAGTTGTGGTCCTGTGTGAAGCACTTTGTATACACATAAACATTTTTATATTATTATATATAATGTAATCAAAGTGCAGTGTGTAAAATAATGCTGGCATTAGTTAATTTTGGGCTTTGTTGTATTGCAGCCTTCAGGAATATCTTTTAAATATTTGAATTGTTCTTCAGTCACACATGCTGAAACTTCAGAGTCAAAATGAGTTTTACTGCCAAGACAAGGAAAGTGAGGACAGCAAGTCAAGAAGCATAAAAAGAAAAATAGAAAATGAACAATAATAATATATGAAATGCATAGAGACAACATTGTGTCCACGGTATTGGGGTCTTTGTGCAGGTATTTGCAGGGTGAACAGTAGTTTCTCTCTATCAGAGTCTCCAGCTGTGAAGGCAGCCCGGTTTTCCCACTGACTCAGGAAACATTTTGGCACCAGTTAATCATTTCTGATCTCTCCACGATGCCGTACGGACTCCTACGCATCTCATTTAGAGGAGAGGTCTCCATTTGTTCAGTCATGTTGTTTAGAATCCCCTGCTTATTTCTTGCTCTCTTGTTTTGGGGTCCGATCGGCGGTGGGCCCCTGACGGACCCCCATCCCAACATAACGGACCAGGAGCTGTTCTGGGGCGCCGACCAGTACGACTTCTCCGTGGTGCTTCGTGCTGCGGGAATGGAGTGTTTCTGGCACTTTGCTCACCGTGGAGAGAGATTCTACCTGAACTTCATGGTGAGAGTGAACGCTGAGGCCTCAACACGTTGCCCTCAACATGATCTGATGGTTTATGTTTACTTCTATGGTTTAAAGCCTTTAAAATGTGGTTTGAAATCTTTGATATTTTTCTTTATATTTACAAAATGTTGTCCCACTTTAAGTCAGTCTCCTGACTACAGACAGACAGTATCTATTTATCTATCTATCTATCTATCTATCTATCTATCTATCTATCTATATATAGTTAGTTATAGTTTTCAGGCCTTACATACATACATAATGTAGTATTTTTATATATAATCACATAGAGGAATTTGTTATCCTGTAATAGTATTTTATGTACTACTAAATAGTTATATTCATATATAGTGTTGCTTTTTTTGTATATATAATCGCTCAAAAGTTATTATTATACATGCCATAGTATTTTATATATAATCACATATAGCTAGTTATTTTTTACATATACAGTATAGCAATGTTTTCAGATATATAGCATTTGATTTATTATCACATTTATTTCTATATATTGTATAGTAGTAAGTATAGTATAATAGTTATATACATCATCATAATTTTTAATACAGTAGTATTTTAGTATTCCTTTATATGCAAGCTTAATAATAATTAGACATTTTGAAATTCTTCCTCTGGGAACCTCGAATATTTACAGTGAGATTCATGTCGATCAGTAGTTGAGGAGAATCTGTATCTGTAGCTCTGGACAGAATTATAGTTACTACAGTTTGTAAATGTTTGTTACTCTGTGTTGTGTTGTTGTCTCTCTCCTCTCCATTTCCTGTCTGTCTGTCTGTCTGTCTGTCTGTCTGTCTGTCTGTCTGTCTGTCTGTCTGTCTGTCTCCAGGTCCAGTGGGTGACGGGAGTCGGCCATGACAGACACCTGTCTGTCAATGTCAACGCTCCCAGTGGTCTAATAGTGTCGACTGTTGATGAGGCAAAGGGTCAAATCAACTTTGAGGCAGAGGAAACAGGTAGCTGTCTGTCTGTCTGTCTGTCTGTCTGTCTGTCTGTCTGACTCTGTCTGTCTGTCTGTCTGTCCGTCCTGTCCGTCCTGTTGTTCGTTGTTGTTCACCCTAAAAGCACAATCAGAAAATATTCCACAAGTGTAGTAATGTTAGCTTTGACTTTAGTCCTGTGTTGTGACTCGTGTTGGACTCTGTGTTGTGGACTCTGTGTTGTGACTCTGTGTTGGACTCTGTATTGTGGACTCTGTGTTGGACTACTCTGTGTTGGACTATGTTGTGGACTCTGTGTTGGACCTGTGTTGACTCTGTTGTGGACTCTGTGTTGGACAATCTGTGTTGTGGACTCTGTGTTGTGGACTCTGTGTTGGACTCTGTGTTGGACTCTGTTGTGGACTCTGTGTTGGACTCTGTGTTGTGGACTCTGTGTTGTGGACTCTGTGTTGTGGACTCTGTGTTGGACTCTGTGTTGTGGACTCTGTGTTGTGGACTCTGTGTTGGACTCTGTGTTGTGGACTCTGTGTTGGACTCTGTGTTGTGGACTCTGTGTTGGACTCTGTGTTGGACTCTGTGTTGTGGACTCTGTGTTGGACTCTGTGTTGTGGACTCTTAGTTCCACAGACTCGTTTTCTTAAGTTGACTTTATATCATTACGACAATCTAAGAACCCAAAAGAATGGCTACCACTTTGATAATCTTAATTTAAATTGTCAGCTCTGTTGGACTCTGTGTTGGACTCTGTGTTGGACTCTGTGTTGTGGACTCTGTGTTGTGGACTCTGTGTTGGACTCTGTGTTGGACTCTGTGTTGTGGACTCTGTGTTGTGGACTCTGTGTTGGACTCTGTGTTGTTGGACTCTGTGTTGGACTCTGTGTTGTGGACTCTGTGTTGTGGACTCTGTGTTGGACTCTGTGTTGTTGGACTCTGTGTTGGACTCTGTGTTGTGGACTCTGTGTTGTGGACTCTGTGTTGGACTCTGTGTTGGACTCTGTGTTGGACTCTGTGTTGTGGACTCTGTGTTGGACTCTGTGTTGGACTCTGTGTTGTGGACTCTGTGTTGTGGACTCTGTGTTGTGGACTCTGTGTTGTTGGACTCTGTGTTGGACTCTGTGTTGTTGGACTCTGTGTTGGACTCTGTGTTGGACTCTGTGTTGTGGACTCTGTGTTGGACTCTGTGTTGTTGGACTCTGTGTTGGACTCTGTGTTGTGGACTCTGTGTTGTGGACTCTGTGTTGGACTCTGTGTTGGACTCTGTGTTGGACTCTGTGTTGTGGACTCTGTGTTGTGGACTCTGTGTTGGACTCTGTGTTGGACTCTGTGTTGGACTCTGTGTTGTGGACTCTGTGTTGGACTCTGTGTTGTGGACTCTGTGTTGTGGACTCTGTGTTGGACTCTGTGTTGTGGACTCTGTGTTGTGGACTCTGTGTGTTGGACTCTGTGTTGTGGACTCTGTGTTGTGGACTCTGTGTTGGACTCTGTGTTGTGGACTCTGTGTTGTGGACTCTGTGTTGGACTCTGTGTTGGACTCTGTGTTGCCCACTGTTGGCACTCGGGAGCATAAAGGTCACAACCTTTGACCCTCAACCTACATAGAGACACATAGAGATCAGTCCACAGGCAGCAGAGGAACAAAGCTCCACTACAACCCGTTCACTCTCTGCTGATAAACAGTGATTAATACACTGTAAATCCTAACAACATATCTTAATACAATGAGTAAACTATAATTGTTGAAGTAATAACTCTGTTGTTTTGAGTGCAGTGTTTTAATTATTGGTGAAATAATTGCAGTTAGTTCCACAGACTCGTTTTCTTTAAGTTGACTTTATATCATTACGACAATCTAAGCCCCGAAGACCCAAAATGAATTGGCTACCACTTTGATAATCGATTAATTGTAAATTGTCAGCTGTTTTAACAGGTAAAGAAATAATTTGCTGTGGTGGAAGAAAACAAGTAAATTAATAAGTGGTAACATTTGTTTAAAAAAATACGCATTAAAGGTAATCTTACTTTAGTCGGATAAATAACTAGAAATGCTGCATATGAATCTAATATAATAGTTTTAAGCTCAATTGAATGAAATTTGGTACAATTAACTTAATTTACTCAGGTGACCGTAACAATAAATACTTGTTATTTAGTTACTTGTACTTCAATAATATGTTTTTGAATGAATACAAATAAATGGTTGAAGGCAATCTAACTCTGGTTTCACTGTGTTCCTAAAAATACTGTCAAAAACAAACCCGTGTTTTCTTTTAATGTTAATATATAGTGTGTGTTTAGTCTTTGTCACTGTTGTTGTGTGTCACTGTTGTTGTGTGTCTGTCCAGGTTTCTATCAGATGTGTTTTAGCAACTTCCACAACCGCTTCGGCACCATGCAGATCTCCCTCAGCTTCGGCGTTTACTACGACGGCTTCCAGGACTCCAACAAACGCAAGGAGGAAGAGAAGAAGAAGAAAGAGGAAGCCAGCAAAGACCTGAACAACACACTGAGCGTCATAGAGGTACACACACACTTTCTCTTCATTGGTGGAGGAACTGTAGTGTTAATAGTAGCTGGTAGTTGATATTGATGATGATGTAGTTTATCAGTTGTTATAATATTAATATTACTTGTAATAAATATATATAAATAGTAGTTCTAGTGAGGCAAGTGACTACCTTTAAAATGGTTATGAAGTAAAACAGTAGTAACCTTAATAGTAGTAGTTATATAATAATAAAGGTATAATAATTGTTATAATAGTAGTTATTAGTATTATATGTAATTGTAATGGTTGAAGTACACATTTTTAAAGTAGTAAATACTAATTTCCTAGTAGTAGTAGTACAGTAGTAATAGCACCAACTATAAGATAAAAAGACTTTATTGATCCCACACTGATCCCAAATGTTACAGCAGATTCAGATGAAACACAGCAGATAAGAAAACACACATTAAATAACAGAATAAAATATAACAAAGATATAATGAAAATAGAAAAAATAGAATTAGAGAATTAGAGTTGTATGTACACTGTATACAGCTTTTATACAGTACATGTCTAATACTAATAATGTGCATGTAGGAAATGATATATATATGTGAAACTGTGCAGTACTAAAAGTGCAAATAATATATTAAAAAGTGACAGAAAAGTGTTGACTGATGTTACCATTAAAGAGCATGACAATGCATAATAATACATGCAGTACGAATCGTTATTAGTATGAGTTATAATTGTATCGTATATAACTATAAGCACTAGTAGTTATTTAAATGACAATAACAGTATTAGTAGAATTGGTCATAATAATCAAGGTTGTACTAATTGTTATAATATTTATTTATAAGCTGTAACTGTACCATTATTTTTAATAATTGAAGTAACAGACTAGTGCTAGTATCAGTATCAGCAGTAATACTGCGCAGCACAGCAGTAACAGTAGTATTTGTAAAGATAATGACAGTTGTAGTAATACTTGTGGTATTTGTATTTATTTGGGTTTTTCTGTTGCAGGATGCGAGTCACAAAGTGGAGAACTACGTCTTCCACATGTTCCGCTACTACAGCTTCGGCCGCATGAGGAAGAGCGCCGACTACTTCCTGCTGCTGTCCAACTCGCAGTACATCACCTGGTGGTCGACGGCCCTCAGCCTCCTCATCGTCACCTCCGGCTACCTGCAGCTGCTCTTCCTCAAAAGACTCTTTGTCACCAAAACGTGCACCGAGGACGAGAAGCCCCGCTGCTGATAGCCTCCGAGTGGTTTATTCAAATCTGTGCAGCCACGACTGAGACTAAAAGGCTGCTGGCCATGTTTCTTTCTGGTATTGTGTTTGTGTGCTTCTGTTTCTTTACACAGTAAAAATACAAAAATACAAAAACTTGATTTGAATCTTCTTCTTTAAAAAAAATACCATAAATGTGATTTCTGTAAGTAATTAGCATTTCTTTTGTTATAATCACCTGAAAATTAGAAACTGTTGTGTTTTCGTTGGCTTAGAATTAGCCGTATTCATCACTGGCTATAGATAGGACCTTATGAGTTTCCCAGCCACGACTTCACGGTCCGTTCTCATGCCAACATCGTCAAATACAGACGCGACATGTGTTCAGTTAGTTTCATTCTGCAACTTCACCACTAGATGCCACTAAATCCTAAGATATTGATGTTTATTTTTGTTGATTTGTAACTGTTGGATACTAAATGCTGATCAATAAAGGTTATGTTTCCTCTTCCTCTGTCATTGCAGCTTCTTTTATTGTGATCTGCTGAAGTTCCAAAGTCCCGCCACTTTTGGAACCTCGGTCAACTTCCTCCTTTCATGTACTTACATATGCTATATGCTAGGCTAATCTATGTTGAAGAGACAACCACACTTTGAAGATGGTTACAAGATCAAAGAGAAGTATGTAGTCGCATCTTAGGTAGCTAATCTACATGAATGTTTTACCAACATTAACTATCAGAATTATTTTAGCTAATGATTGCCGTAGATTAGCTAGCTAGAGTTTGGAACTTTTGCTAACAGAAAACAAAATAAAAGTCACAAACTCTCAAGACTTCAGCCAGAAAACACTTTACATACACCTTGTTGAAGTCCAGGTGAAAGGAAGAAAGTCATTTTACCCTTTAAGATTGCATTCTTGGTCATATTGTACATATTGTACTATTTAACAATGTAATGTACAAAAACTCAATTGCTTTGTATTTTTATATTAAAACTCAATTGCTTTGTAATAGGCAGACCTTAATACTAAGACAAGAGGACAATATTGAATTTACATTTTGATATATAAGAAAATATAAATACATTTAGAGAGAGAATTTAAAAAAAGCTGTAATAAACAAGGGTTAAGATTCATGAGGTGGTGTGTGTGTGTAGGATTTAACAAGGGAGAAAGGAAAAATGGAAATGAGATAATAATAATACATAAGGAGAGATATAGTTTAAAGGTATACAGGATAAGACAAGACAGCAGTACACATGCAGATAATATCTTTGAGCTTACGCAACCACACCTGTTCTGATGCCAACCTTTAATTTACGCCTGTCTGGGGAATGAGGGCAGTCACTTATAGGAAGCCAGAATATTTTGAGTAAACCCTGCCCCTGGTTTCCTTCCAAGAAACCCTTCAACATTTCCCTTTGCTGCTCTCTCAAAAAATGTTTTATGTTTTAAATGTAAAATTATTATTATATATTTTATACAGTGATAGTTTTTTGTTCTGGGTCCAGCCACAGGAAAACCTGGCTCTGGCAGAAAGCCATGCTGTTGCTATCTAACTAATGAATGTTGTTAAAAGTTAATGATTGATTGGTGAATATTTTTAGATTTATTTTATTTATCCCCTATCCTAAATTCTTTTTTTCACTCTGTCATTTTTTATACACACACAGGCTGAAATGCAGGCTTGTGGACATGCAAACATGGAGAGATGCTGGAGTGATGGGCTGCCATGTTTGGGGTTAGATGCCTCGGCAGCGCAGCTATCAGTCCACAATCCATACTGCGGTTAGTGGGACCGGCGTCCGTCTGGTTCCCAAGCTAAGTCCCGACACACTAAGATACTGATATTATTGGTTGAAATCAGTTAGTTACAGGAAGACAAAATTATTGGATTTTGTCGTAAAAAATATAAAGAAACTGAGTTTTTCAAAAACAAAACAATTGGCTTACATTGTTAAATAGGGGAACAATATGACTGGGGATGTAATCTTATAGGGTCACTGATTTTATCCATGGATGTCTCATTTCACTTCCCACCAACAGTGCATGACTGTGCTTGAGTTACATTGATATGTTATCAAACGTACAGCGCTGTATCTGAGTTTGTAGATGTGGTTAATAATTATTTTCCAGTTGATATCTAAGAACCAACAGAAGAAAGCAGCAGGCTCCTTCATGCCCTCGTCCACAGTGAACTGCAGTCATGCTGTTGAACACTCTGCTCATTGTGCTGAGCTCTCACTGCGTCTGGGCCAGAAAGTCTGAACCTTCCATCAATGAGGCGGATGCAGGTTTATTTAGGGGATCAGATAAATATGACTTTGCCGTTGTGGTTCCTGCTGCCGGGATGGAGTGTTTCTGGCACTTTGCCCACCAGAGTGGAAGCTTCTACCTGATATACATGGTGAGAGTTTCCCCTGTAAACCTGCAGGATTTGGTTTCACCTCGTCCACAAAGATAAATTTGTTGGTAATTTAAAGTACTAGCATGAACTGATGGCACAGTCAGGTATGTTTCTGTGTCTTTGTGCCATTTGTCCTCAGGCTTATCACACTGACTGTCAAGGTGATCCAGTTTGACTTTTAAACAGGGATCATTGTTGTTTAATTAGGTTTCTTATAGTCCCACGGACATACAGACATGTGCTGACAGTATGTTGAGTGTGGGCCAACTGAGATCTGGATTTTCCAGTTCTTCAAAGCTGGCTGGAGTTCTTGCCCTTAAGCACAAACCTACAAAATAGCAGCTTCGTTACTAAGAGTTTTTAAGTTAAACTAATGTACTTCTGAAGCATTATTAGATAAATGTTGATGAAATAGTAATGAATAATGATTTAGATGAAAACATGGAAAAGTTATTTAGAAAATAGGACGATATACAATCACATCAAATACAAAATAATTGTTAACAGGTCAATGGAAGCAAATATGTTGAGCCGGATTACAAGCTACCATCGAGGTTGAACGACAACTACAGGAGCGGAGAGGATGTTTGAGGAAAGTGCGGTGAAATTGAGGGTTTAAAGCAAAGTGCAAAATTAACTGTTTATATAATAAAAATTAAAGCAGCCACAACTTTTTTACCAGCCAAATTATTGAATTATTGACTAATCTCTACAGTCTCTGCAGCACAGAAATGTAGGACAACCTTCACTTGGGCATTCATTTTGTACATTATTCTTACGTTAATTCGGGTACTAATAATAATTAAATGAAAGTACTTTAATAAGGAAATTACTTGAAGCCCATCCCTAGTTATTAGTATATACATTTTTGGACCTTTCCTGGGATTTGTTGACTTGTTTAATGTGTATGTGTCCACAGGTGCAGTGGGTAACAGGGATGGCCAATGATCACCGGCTTTTTGTGACAGTCAACTCACCACAGGGCATTCTCATTGTGTCAAAGAACAAGGCTGTCGGTCAAATTAACTTTCAGACTGAGGTGACAGGTAGGACCATCATAAAAAAACTCTCCAGATATAGCCAAGAATGATATATCATCTCTGTAAGTAACTGCAGTTTCTTCCCAACAGGTTTTTACCGGATTTGTCTTGGGAACCACAACAACCAGTTCGGAAGCATCAGGGTCTTTCTGAACTTTGGCGTCATCTACGAAGGTTTTGAGAAGTCAAAGAAAGAAATGGAGGAGGGAGAGAAAGTCCTCAACAGCACTTTGGCCGGTATTGAGGTATTTGTCTCAATTCTGCATAACGTGTTTAACTATTATCAAAAAAACAATAAAATGTCATCTGCATAAAGAGAAATATGGAATGAGTATTTCTGAAAGGGCTGCAATGTTATACTACATATATACGTGTATATACACATATAATACAGTATATTAAACCTATTGGGGGGGTGGGAATCTCTAGGTACATAATGATTTGATCTGATTCAGAGGACTACAATGCAATTCTAAAATGATTATTAATTATTATTATATGTGTGATTTATTGTTTCTCACTGTGTCTCATTGGTTTTTGTAATGATCCATATTTAAAATAAGCAGAGGAATTGACTTATATTATTTTTTATTATTAACAGTATTGACAAAGGGAATACATGTGTCAAGTGGAACATTTGCCAACATATTTCTCAGCTTCGCAAAGAACCAAGATAAGAAACAAAAGCGTGCTAGTAGAACCATCCTTGTAATAAACTGACAGTACACAGACTTCAACAAGTTCTAATTCACTTTATAAAAAGGTACTGTTAGGCAAAGGGGTGCCCGTCGGATTGTATTTTGTCTTCGGTTGCTCATGCTCAGCCATCCTTAGCAAAGCTCAGTAACTAACTGTTAGCCTAGCGTAGAACATAAACATGATGCATGTGTTCTCGTACGTTGGAATATCCAATGCTCGTGTGCACAGCCACCATTTTTTTTCTGCAGACAGGTTCTGTTTTGTTACAGGCAATCATAGTGTCGAGAATTTTATTCTTACATGTCTGCTTATTAACTTTTAAACATAATTATTCTAGCCTTTAGCATACTATGACATACAGTACATGAAACTATACAACGTACATTGTCTGCCATTTAGGTGAGTGTTCAGAAGCTGCAGATTCAGATCTTCCACATGTGGCGTCATTACAACTTCGCCCGCATGACGAAAGGGAAGGACCACTACCTCCTCCTGTCCAACCTCAACTACGTCACCTGGTGGTCGGCGACCCAAAGCTTCGTCATCCTCCTGTCCGGATACCTGCAGCTCCTCGTCCTCAAAAGGCTCTTCCACACAGACCCCAGCAGGCCGCGATGCTGAGAGCAGAACTGAGAGCTGTGACCACATTTCTACTTTCTCTTAACATATTTTTATTGATACATCTTTGGAAAAGATAGTGATCTTGCACACTATCTGGAACTTGCAACTAAAGTGTATTTACTGATCAATAGATATTGGAGGTCACCTCATTATTTATCACTGAAAGGTGATCATCAATGGCCATATTTAGAAACATAAACAACAAATCAAAGTACAAAATATCCAACCACCTGGTTGCTGGGTGTTCGTTTAACAGATCGGTGCTTTAATCTGTCCTCCAGATATTTCACATATTGTCTCCAGTTCAGCTTATCTCTCAGGCATGTCAAAGCTTTGGTTAGGTCAATGTTTAAATTATGTTTTTTGATGCCAATAAACTTCTTTTCTCCATCTAAACCAGTGTTTCTCAAACTTTTTACACTGTACCACCTCAGAACACACGAGTCTCTCCATAAATCACCATTATGACCAACGTTAAAATATAGCAGCGTAGACCGACCCTGTTCAGCAACAGACAGTTCACACAGGAGAAGAAGATTATTTATTGTTGACTGGGGGGGGTACTCCCTGTCCACACTTATAATAATAATAGAACTAATAATAGTTCCCATTTGGAGACCCAATTGTACTGTTTTTGAACCATTCATTTTACCGCCACTCACTACCCTGTCGTCACATTTGAGCTCTTATCTAATCGTTGACGTATGCATGTGCTACCATCATGAACATGACTTAGTAGCAGGCGGATATTTAAACTAAATATTACAGGAAATGCAAAACGTTTTAGGAAACAGTTTTGACGAAAACTATGCAGAGACATATACTGAAGTTAACGTGCTAACAACTTAGCTGTAATTATACAGGGTAACAAATGAAAAACAGTTGGGAACAATGTGCTGTATTTTACAAGCTTATCATGTGTTTTGTTCGTGTCAAATCTTAATCTGAAAAGTAACTATGGCATATTGGTCAGATGAGGACTATACAATAGATTTAGATCTAATGATTGATTTGATTAAAGTTTTTATGAGATTTTCACATTGCTCGTAGATGCCAGAGCTCCTGAGCACGTCACTGGTGCCAATGGGCTGAGCCTCTTCCAGCCTTTAACTGGATGAGCAGGTTTGACATAAAAACTAATTGTTGTTGTCTGTTTGCGACACTGTGTTGGCACAGCATCATGGATGCCACAGATTTTTCAAAGAAAACACCTGAGAAGAAGAAGTAAATTACTTCCATTTTCATTAACTGGCACGTTCAGACAGGTCGCTTGTCAAAAGGTAGGTGTTTTTGATCATTCTAACTATGTCTATCATTGCTGTCAAATAGAAATCTACAAAATTTTAATTGTAGAAACAAGAATGCTACAAAAAAGCTTTATAACAATTAATACCACCTTTTTCAAATAATCCAGTTCGTTTTTAAAAGGTTTATTTTGCTTAATGTAGGACAAAGTCTGTTTTTATATGATAATTAAGTGACCAAATGGACACTGAACATGTTTTTTCTTGTTGTTTATTCCTCCTTCCACCATTAAAATATACCTTTATAATGCAATGTTACTGTTGATTGATGGGGGACAAAATCCACAGACCTCATTCTGTACAAAAGTACAAAGTTTATCTAAGGCTAATATGAGGCTTTAGAAGTCTAAATGAGTCAAATATAGTATAACTTTTTTAATGGACGGTATAAACAGGAGGAGGAACAAGTTGTTTAAATGTTAATGTGGGCACTTTTCTTTAAAGACAGATATGTAAAATGTAAACTTTTATCCTTCAGATGCAGGACAATCTGTGATACATTGTACTGTTTCCTGTGCAGGCATGCGGAAAGTATTCATGACTATGGGCTGATTCATAGTCGGAATGCTTTTCACTCCACGTCACGAGTCATGTTTAATATGTTTAGTTACTGATATAGGTGCCGAACAATTTCCCTCTTTTTCCCAACAAGTAGGTTTAGGATCTTTTTCCACACCTTAGTGTTTATTTTCTGTCATCCAATTGCAGCTCTGCACTGAAGCTGTGTAACGTTTACACTGAGTGAACCAGTCAAACTCAGGACAAGATTCAAGGAAATGATACACATTATCTGTGTGTTCTGACCCCTTTCTATCAGAACCAGCATTAACTGTTTCAGCAGTTTGAGCTACAGTAGCTCGTCTGTTGGATCAGACCACACAGGTCAGCCTTCACTCCCCATGTGCAGTGTTATTCACTGGCAGTGCTCACTGTGTTAGGGCTGATCGCTGTATGAAGCAGTGGACATAACTCAAGAATTGATGGTGTCATTTTGACAAGATTTCACACAGATATTTAATGGGATACAGTGATGATGAAGTGATGATGTTTTATGCAAAAGGTAAAATGTCAACTTCACTGTGACATCATGAATGTCCTGTCCTGTTTTTGGCCATTATTCAATGCCATGACTCAGGAACGGAGGGGATATTGGGACCTTATTTCACAGTTGGTTAGTGACACTAACTAATCATAAAATATTTGTACATACACTAAATACCTTTTAATTCAATTCAATTTTCAATTCAATTCAATTTTATTTGTATAGCGCCAATTCATAACAGAAGTTATCTCAGGACACTTTTCAAATAGAGCAGGTCTAGACCGAATTCTTTAACATTAATTACAGAGACCCAACAGTACCACCATGAGCAAGACCTTGGAGACAAGGGCAAGGAAAAACTGCCTGTTAAAAGGCAGAAACCTAGGACAGATCCTCTGGCTCTAGGTGGGTGGTCGTCTGTCTCGACCAGTTGGGGTGAGAGAGAGAGAGAGAGATCAATTCCTTCACCACATGCATTATATAAGTCTGTACACTGCTACTTGACTGGTTGGTGGAAGCTGTAATTCTAGCTCCTCTATTATGAAGTGGAGTCATGAAGTTTTGGGATAAACATTTTCAGCTAGCATGGACACACCTCGGTTTACCAGATTAAGATAATCTTTAATTTACTGCATTTATGACTGATTCACTTCAGCTGTTAAATATGTGCAACATTTTGTTTGTTGTTTGTTGCCATTTAATTCCAAGCTAACTTTCTCTACAGCTAATCATGGAAGGATTGCTGGATTTTGGCCTCGTAGAAAACATCTTGTCCATATGCAAGAGCATCTACCAGATGGCAGAGAATGTGAAGGCCAACAAGGAGCGCTGCCAGCGGGTTGCCCAGAGAGTCAAAGGACTGGAAGAACTGGTTCTCACCATCAAACAAAGGGGTCCGGGTCAAGTCTCTGTCACTGTGGAGAATGCACTGAAGGAACTCTGCACCACTCTGTCCTCTGCCAATGCGATGATGGTGAAATATTCCCGAACTAAAGCTTTTAAGAGCTTCCTGAGGTCCGACAGCCATGAGGACATGTTCTGCAAGATTAACGAAAGCCTCACTGATAACTTCCAGATCCTTTCTGGGGCTCTACAGATCGAGCATGGGAACATACTGCAAAAAGTGTATGAAACTGTTTCTGTAAGGAGACAGGATGAAGAGTATTGCAGTGTACAAGATAGCCCCACTACTAGCCCCACAACTCCCATACCTCTCCCCAGCACCGTGCCCCCCAATCCAATGTGTAGCCCCAGAACTCCCATGCCTATGCCTGTCCCGTACATCATGCCCCCCAATCCAATGTGTAGCCCCACAACTCCCATGCCTATGCCTGTCCCGTACATCATGCCCCCCATGCAGATGTCTAGCCCCACAACTCCCATGCCTATGCCTGTCCCCAACATCATGCCCCCCATGCCAGTGTCTGCCCCCATGGCTCATATGCCTGTCCGCTGCATCGTATCCCCAAGACCAATGTCCGTTGCCACAGTTCGCACGTGTCTACCTGGAACCATGGCCCCCAACCTCGTCCTCAGGACCAATGCCCCGCTGCAAGCACCTATTGCCACAATGACAACACAAAATAGATTTGTTGTAGGCAGTTATGTGGTCAGAAACCCTTATCCTTGAAACAATGGGGACATTGGACAAAGAAAGACGATCAGGAGAAAAGTCTTTCTCCATATCTGCAGAGCTCATACCTTCCACCGTGTCTTTAGGGTTGCAGCCCCCATTTATCTAAAGACAAGGCCCCTACAGCAAAATACACTCACCCTAACAAGTTATTTGCATATTCAACCTTGTAGTGTTTTTCTTTTTAGGGTTGTTTTTATTTTAGATGGACAGGAAAGCAGAGAGAGGGTGATCACATGTCCACAGCATTGGGTTTGTGCTTGAAAGGAACTAGTTTGTACAAAGTGTTTGAAGGTGTTAGCCAAAAGGGTTTTCTATGATCTGAATGACAACAGTTAGGGTTTCTGCATCATGTATTTGACCTCAATAATTACCTCAAGTTTTTCTAAACATTTTGAGCTTCATTTTTTATTTTTTTTGCCAGGATGTTGGGGCCCCATCAAAGACACTCAATGGAAGTTAAAACAGTTTCTGATTAAGCAGCTTACCAGTAATTTAAGTACATAACGTTTTTAAGTCAAGAACATTCCTGATCAAGTACATTTTACTATATATTTTGTTTTCACAGTACAAATGAAATATATAAAATTAAGTCAGTGTCACTTAAACTTTACACAAAATTGCAACATATTTATGTCCATACTTGTGCATCTATATACATATATTTTTTACCATTTGGCACTTTTTGGGTGTAAATTTAGGACTCTGACGGAGACAGAACAGAAAGTCTTCTGTGGGAAAAGTTGTGATGAATTGTATAAATGGGCTTGTTGCAACAAAGCATGCAGAAAGTACAAAGAATGTAAAATGAGAGCTTAAATTCAAATTAAAAACATGACTAAGCCAAAACTGAATTATGCATTTTTATAAACCCAGAAATCAGCCTCCTTCGCTCCAGTGGAAACCCCCTCACAAATTTCTGTGTCATAATAAAAGGAAAGAACTCAGAATTTCCCACAGAAATGATCATAAACTGATTAATGATTAAGTGTCATTGATTGCGAAGGATCACTACATTTAAAACCCCAGAGGGAGGACAGCACTGAACTAACAAGAGAGATTTTCTTTCTGACCTCACTGTGTAAAAGAGAATAACCTGCATTTGTTTTTCTGTTTGAACAAGTTCGTTGCACCACCAATGTCTGTTCAGTACATGTTTACATAGGCATTTATTCTGTTTTTATTTAATATATTTACTTCTATTATTGTTTTTATGTGAAGCACTTTATTACTATTTTTTGCGATAAAAATAAAATATTAGTGATCGTTTACATCTGCTCATATGTTTATTATTATTATGGATAGGATGTTTGCCAGGAAGACACGAGTTTGATAGCAGTTTTAATGGGGTGTGAGTCAATATTACAATTTAGAAAGAAGCCCATATCTTCTAATATGGGTGTCAGTCTGTTCTAATAAATCAATAAATCAACTTCAATCCAGAACTCACGGGAGTCCATTTAAAGAATAAACGAGAAATAGATTTGATTTCTGTTTTACAGGAAAAACATAATGGACAAATATGTATTTTTAATGTATTTAATATTTTATTACAAGGGTGGTATCCATGTAATATCTTCATGTGAACTTCTTTCGTTTTATGTGGAAGGAGGAATTTATAAGTCTGACTACATTTGTTGTTCAGGGAAGTTTAGTTTCCATAAATTAGTTGATCTGGAAGAATTACTGTGATCTGAGGTCAGAATTTTCTCAATAAACAACAGAACAGTGACAGTGGTGTCAATCTCAGTTATTAAAGTTATAAATCATCAAGCCAGAGGACAAATACAACATAACCAAATAATAAATAAAGGAATGAGAAATGCCTCACATATTTGCTTGTCATCCTTCCTTGCGTGGGCCATGCTAATCTTCTCTGTATCGTTCCAATTATAGTATATGTGCTACTGGAGTAACACGGCAGCTCCCTGTCTCTGCAGGGTATTTCTAGGGGGTCAGTCTGGAGAGAGTCCTGACTCATGGTGCCACTCAGACTCACTTTAGAGGTTTAAAGGCTCTAAACGGCTCTGAACGGCTCTCAGACAGCTGATAACAACAGGAATAAGAGGTCTGGCTGTTGTACTGTGAGTCCTGTACCTACTTTCTTCCTATTTTCTGCCTTTATTTTCACTCCAACTGTCAGCTGCAGTTCCATAAAGTCACCAGCAGGTGTCAGCCTATGAGCAGTGTATGGGAGGAGGGCGCTGTTGTAGTCTGAACATTGACAGTATGCTGTATATTAGAGTCTGACTGCAGGTTAATAAAACACATTATTTATAGTGCCTGCTGTAGGTGCATTTAGATGTTTTGGCTTTGTGAGGAAATCGCCTAAAAAACAGATTCTATTAATAACATATGACAATTTACAAAATCACCCCCTCAACTTTCAACTCTTACTTACCTAGCAGGTGCGATGCCACAATCAAGAAGGTGCTGACCCAACCATGTGTTTTGATGGTGGAAGAAACTCACACAAACACGGGTAGAGCATTCAAACTCCTCTCAGAAAGGCCCTGCCCAGCCGGGATTTGAACCCAGGTTCTTCTTGCTGTGAGGCTAACCACTATACTTCCTGGTGGAAGAACTCCTAATTGTGTCCCTTGTGCAAAGTCAATGGGGGCCCAATCCCAAACCATTGTATGTCAGCCATGTCAGCTACAGAGAATAAACATCAAGATTTTTCCCTTTCCATGGGCAGGCAAACAGGACTAAAAGGGGGAATAATGCCCTGTGACCGGTCCATGAAACCCCTTTAACTTTTCACTCTTCCTCAGTTTTCCTGACTCCTCTCTGACAGTCTGGAGGCCCTCTGGCATTTGTGATGGTTTGTAGCCTGCGTATCACAGTCGGGCCTTGAGTTTCTCTGCAACCAGACTGTAAAGAGGATGTGGTAATGGTCAGGGGACCATGGGTGTGGCCGGGATCTTGGCAGGCAATTAGCCAAGTGGACTATTCATGAGTGTAGTGGCTGGAACGACACCAGAGTTCGGCAACTCTTGAGCAGAGGGCAGTGTTTTCTTGGGTTAGTCTTTGTAAAGGAGTAGTCTTTCACTTTTTGTTAAAGACTTGAGAGTGTAGAGTGAAATCAAAACAAATCTCTTTTTGGTTTGCCATTGGCCTGATGTCTGTGCCTTTGGGAAAATCAAGACATCTTTACCCAGGCCGTTTTAGGCGGAAGTGAAGTTATCTTTTAGTCCAGCCTCTCATAGAAGCTCCTGTGAGCAGGGGAGTGTGTGTTGTTTTGCATTGCTGAGGGAGCAGAGGTGCGGCATAACAGACCAGGACGAAATGAATGTGCTATATTGTCTTCTGCAGGAGCAATTAAATGCTGGTTAACAGTTCTGTGAGTCGTCCTCTGTTTATACCCAATCCACACACCTGTTACACATGTAATATAAAAAGTTTCTTAATGACATCACATTGTACGAAGAAATTATAAACTCACATATACAGTTATTAGTAACTAACTAGTAATTATCCAAATATTCTAGAGGTCCTATGGCTTTCTTGTTTGTTAATAATTTAGAAACAGAGTCAAAGAGAAATTACAATTCAACAAAATTAGGTTTGAAGCGTTCCAGCCATTTGCCAACAAGACACGTAAGTTTGATAGCAACGTTAATGTCAATATTACAAATTAGAAAGAAGACCATATCTTCTAATATGGGTGTCAGTCTGTTCAAACTTAAGGTGCTGTATTCTTAAACAATAACTCAGACTGAAAACTCTCCATTATATTTCTGACTTTGGGAGGAAATCGCCTAATAACCAGATTCTATTCATAAAATCGGACAATTTACAAAATCAACCCCTCAGACCCAAAAATGAAGAGAGTTTTTCTTTTAATTCGGCGGTTTAATGATGGGGAAATGAATTTGGTGAACAACTGAAACACCTCTGAGCTCTAATTTATCTGTTTATCATCAGTTTAGAGTCACAGCAATACAAAGTTTTGAAAAAAACTATTCATCTCACACTGCTGCAGACTCATGTCAACTTTTTTAATGGACGGTATAAACAGGAGGAGGAACAAGTTGTTTAAACGTTAATGTGGGCACTTTTCTTTAAAGACAGATATGTAAAATGTAAACTTTCATCCTTCAGATGCAGGACAATCTGTGATACATTGTACTGTTTCCTCTGCAGGTATGCGGAAAGTATTCATGACAGGGCTGATTCATAGTCTGAATGCTTTTCTCTCCACGTCACAAGTCATGTTTAATATGTTAGGTACTGATATAGGTGCCTAACAATTTCCCTCTTTTTCCCCACAAGTAGGTTTAGGGTTCATCTTTTTCCACACCAACAGTTTATTATGTGTCATCCAGTTGCAGCTCTGCGTTGAAGCTGCGTGATGTTTACACTGAGTGAAATAGTCAGACTCAAGACTGGAAATGATACATATTTTCCTAAAGTCCAGCATTATCTGTGTGTTCTGACCCCTTTCTATCAGAACCAACATTAACTGTTTCAGCAGATTGAGCTACAGCAGCTTGTCTATTGGATCGGACCACAAGGGCCAGCCTTCCCTCCCCACGTGCATCAATGAGCCTTGGACCACTTTTGATAGATAGTGACCTCTGTACACCGGGAGCACCCCACAAGAGCTGCAGGTTTGGAGATGTTCTGACCCAGTCATCTAGCCATCACAATGTGGCCCTTGTCAAAGTTGCTCAGATCCTCACGCTGCATGTTTCTAACACATCAACTCTGAGGCCAAAATGTTTACTTGCTGCCTGGTATATCCCCCCACTGACAGGAGGTCTGATAAGATATCAGATAATCAGTGTCATTCACTGTCATTGCTCACTGTGTTAGGGCTGATCACTGTAACTGTAATCTGAGACAAGGTGGGTCTCGTCTTCCCTTTTCCCATGAAAGCTACATGGTGTCAAAGCCTGTGAGGGCATGGCATACATGTAGACAATCACATAATTAAACTAAAGCACAGATTGTGACAAATCTTTTCCTTAGGGCATGTCCAGAGTGCAAGTAGACCGTAGAAGACGGAAACATCCCTTTGCTTGCATGGTAAGCAGAACAATCACATTTATCATCTCATCTGATGATAAGATGAAAATGTGACTCTGCAAGTTGTATTGCACGTAACACCAGTCTAAAATCATGTCTCATGTGGTCTGCTTCTTAAAAACAATCTTTTCTCTTATGAGCTACTGTGGGAAAATGATTCTACATGTTCTGTGTAGAGAGTGACTTCAGATGTAAATTGTAAAATTCATATTTTATCTATTTTTCACATACATTTTAATTGATCAGTTCAATCAGTTTATTGCCCAGCTCTACTTTAAAGCGAACAAGGAAGCACAGTTCAAGTCAAGAGACGTATGTACTGTGTGCTATTTCACAAAAACCTCAGTTATGTGACTATCGACCTGCGTGCCACGCCGTCACAGACTGTGACACCACATGACTTTAAAATGTTTGTAGTTTAAGATTCATCATGCATGGAAATAATAATTATAAATCCTGTTTTCATAGACACACTGTTGAGGCCTACTACTCTCTCTGAGTGAGGAGCTTTTTCTAAAATGAACAATTGTAATTTCACTTAAGAGTTCTTTGAAAGAAATATTTTACTTTACTACTTTTGAAACCTCAGAATCACAGAGAAGCCTACTTGTGGCCCAGTGACAAAAGTTTTCCCTCTCAGTGTTTCTGTATTTTTTCCTGTAATGTGATCAGTAAGAAATCTGTCACATAAAGAAAAGATGGTAAACAGTTTGGAAAGCAGCAGAAAGTGAAATTACAGAGTAAACAGTGAGCTGAACATTGGAGTGTTTGTGGGATTGTAGAGGGACTGTAAAGGGAGCGTTGTAGAATATTGATCTAAAGATACAGTATGTTCCTGAATATCTTACACTGACCTCTTTTCTTATGTTGTCTGTTTGTTATTGTATGTTTGTTTGCCTGCTGTAGACTCAAATTGTAGGAAAAAAAGTCAAAAATCATCTTGTTCCAAAGGTATTTACCAATCAGTCAATAATAGCTCACTCACAGATCTGCACTGAGAGGAGGAGCAACACTGAAAGAGCTTCAGTGACACATTTCTTCCAATAAAAGTGAAAGTTTGTCTGAAGACAGCAGAGCTGCAGTCGAGACAGGTCTCTCTGTTTCTCTCTGAAGACAAATTCAACTGAATCCATCAGGTTTTTCTCAACTAAACAGCAGAATCTCTGCCAAACTCTGGTGAGTCCACTGCCCTACAAAGAGAAAATGCACTAACTAAATATTTGGTCAAACTTAAGTAGTTGTTTTATTTGATTAATATTCTTTAGAAGTAGGATATGGGGAACTATATCCAACTTTTCATCTACAACCTTGTTGTGAATGACAAATATACTTGAAACCTTGAAATTGATTAAAACCAGAATCTGCCTTTGTTTCATCTGTTTTAGAAAGATGTATGTCAGTGTGTCATTTTCAATAAAAACATAAAGTACAAAACAGACTTAAATACCAAATCACAGCGACTGCACTCTGGCTAGTTACGGTTATGTCTCTAACCATTTTAATGTCCAGCATCTTAATAAATAGGTTTTTCATTAGACATATACTGTCTGATTTCATGTGATGTTTTCTATTATTGCTCATGAAAACTGTCTCTCATCTTCCGTGTTTATTCCTCCTCTTTTTTCATTGAACTACCACTCCGTCTTCACCTGTTGCAGTAGCTTGTGTCTGTCCTGCCCTGTTCTCTAACATACCCCTGACTGAGCATTGAGGGCAATCCGAGTGAAAATAAAAATACAAGATTATCAGACAGACTCTTACATCCACACATACAGCAGTTTTTCTGCTAGAAGTTTAAATCAACATTTAAGGTTTGCAGAAATTATAATGTGGAAATGAGCTGCAATACTAGAATATTCCACAAGGTGCATTGAGCTGCAACACAAGC